AGTTACGGGGGTACCCCCCAACTGCTGCGGGGACAGGGAGGGGCCCCTGGAGTACTACAGCACGCACCGCGGCATGGCACTGTGGGCCGTGCTTGCACAGGAGATGGCAGGCCTGATCCACCCAGACAAACGTGACCAAATGTCCACGTGGCAGCCAGGGTAGGCATGCGTGCAGCACCTCTGCTCCAGATTGCTCAGTCCGGGAGGCAGCGTACATGTCCTCACGCACCAGGGGAAGTGGCTGTTGGATGGCACCACACACACACAGGCCGACAGTCATGCTGCACGCACACAAACAAGAGTCTGTTCAGTTTCAGAGTGTAGAAGGAGAAAGACTAAGGCCCTGGGAACGATGGCACTGAGCACCCACAGAAAAATCACCCACTCCTCACACACGGCCCCAGCTCCGTCACACACTCAGCTCCCACACTCCTCACACACGGACCCACCCCAGTCAGTCACACACTCAGCTCACACACAGACCCAGCCCAGCCAGTCACACGCTTCTCACATACTACTCACACACAGACCCAGCCCAGTCAGTCACACACTCAACTCACACACAAACCCACCCCAGTCAGTCACACGCTCAGCTCCCACACTCCTCACACACAGACCCAGACCAGTCAGTCACACGCTTCTCACATACTACTCACACACAGACCCAGCCCAGCCAGTCACACACTCAGCTCACACACGGACCCACCCCAGTCAGTCACACACTCAGCTCACACACTCCTCACACACAGACCCAGACCAGTCAATCACACACTCAGCTCACACACAGACCCAACCCAGCCAGTCACACGCTTCTCACATACTACTCACACACAGACCCAGCCCAGCCAGTCACACGCTTCTCACATACTACTCACACACAGACCCAGCCCAGTCAGTCACACACTCAGCTCCCACACTCCTCACACACAGACCCAGCCCAGTCAGTCACACGCTCAGCTCACACACTCCTCACACACAGACCCAGACCAGTCAGTCACACGCTCAGCTCACACACAGACCCAGACCAGTCAGTCACACGCTTCTCACATACTACTCACACACAGACCCAGCCCAGTCAGTCACACGCTCAGCTCACACACTCCTCACACACAGACCCAGACCAGTCAGTCACACGCTCAGCTCACACACAGACCCAGACCAGTCAGTCACACGCTTCTCACATACTACTCACACACAGACCCAGCCCAGTCAGTCACACGCTCAGCTCACACACTCCTCACACACGGACTCAGACCAGTCATGCATGCAGAGCATTGAGCTTCACACAATTCTCCCGCACCGCTGCCTATGTCTCATGATGTCTAGGTCATTCTAGGCCTCCCCTCCAAGGGGTTCAGGGCTACACATTCCTTTTTTGTGGTAGCCTGCCTTAACTATAGAATTCTTATGCAAGGAGTTGTCCCTGAGGACGTACACCAGGACTGGGAGGCATGCCAATGGCCCCACTAGGAGGCAGGGTAGCAGCTTCCTGCTCGCCTGCCACAGCAGAGGTGGCTCTGGATCGCACATGGCCCTGCTGGGACAGATGCTCTGACAGTCCTGGGGACCTAGCCCTCTGCCTGCTGTGCTGGCCACCCTCCATGGGATGTTCAATCCCCGCAACAAACACACCAGGCATGAGAAACCAACCCTACAAAGAACATTCCACAGCAGACCATTGCCCTGCCCTCATCTTATCCCCTGCTGAGGGTCCGACCAGAGTGACAGACACAAAGAGCAGGTGGACACACGGAGCACGTGGACACGGGGACATTCTCACAGAGATGACACACGGAGCACGTGGACATGGGGACATTCTCACAGAGATGACACATGGAGCACGTGGACACAGGGACATTCTCACAGATGACACACGGAGCACGTGGACACAGGGACATTCACACAGATGACACACGGAGCACGTGGACACGGGGACATTCACACAGATGACACATGGAACACGTGGACATGGGGACATTCTCACAGAGATGACACACGGAGCACGTGGACACGGGGACATTCACACAGATGACACACGGAGCACGTGGACACGGGGACATTCACACAGATGACACACGGAGCACGTGGACACGGGGACATTCACAGAGATGACACACGGAGCACGTGGACACGGGGACATTCACACAGAGATGACACACGGAGCACGTGGACACGGGGACATTCACACAGAGATGACACATGGAGCACATGGACACAGGGACATTCACACAGATGACACACAGAGCACGTGGACACAGGGACATTCACACAGATGACACACGGAGCACGTGGACACGGGGACATTCACACAGAGATGACACACGGAGCACGTGGACACGGGGACATTCACACAGATGACACACGGAGCACGTGGACACAGGGACATTCAGAGATGACACACGGAGCACGTGGACACAGGGACATTCAGAGATGACACACGGAGCACGTGGACACAGGGACATTCAGAGATGACACACGGAGCACGTGGACACGGGGACATTCACACAGATGACACACGGAGCACGTGGACACGGGGACATTCACACAGATGACACACGGAGCACGTGGACACAGGGACATTCAGAGATGACACACGGAGCATGTGGACATGGGGACATTAACACAGATGACACATGGAGCACGTGGACACGGGGACATTCTCACAGAGATGGCACACGGAGCACGTGGACACGGGGACATTCACACAGAGATGACACACGGAGCAGGTGGACACATGCTGTAGCTTAATAGTGGATGTGGAGCAGGTTGCACTGCCGGATCCAGGCGGAGGAGATATGACGAGGGCTACCCAGTAACAATGAGAGCTGCCCACAGACATTTTGAAGGATGCTAAGGAGTCGCTCCCTTTGCTGTAATTGTGGAGGGGCTTGCTCTGTGTCCCCATGGTGCCCATGTACCCCACACCCTCAGGCAGTACTGAGGCTGAGTTCATGCACTGCCAGCACAGGTGACCTCATGGACAGTGAACTTGTCTGCTGTCTGCCACTCCCAGGACGTCTGTAACCTCCATGGTGCCCAGGGCCCACTCTGTAGCAGGGGCACCTTGAGGATACCTCAGAGGGCTACTCTTCCCTTAGCAGCCATGAGCATGCACGCCAGTCCCACACTGTGCCCTCTAACAGACAAGGGACAAGGTCCCTAGGGCTCCAGGAATCTCTACTCTGCCCTTCCTCAGGTGTGGCACCTGGCTGGGGTCAGGACGCTCTCCTGTGCCCAGGAGCCCAAAGTGTCCATTAAGGGAACCCGCACTGCCTTCACACAGCATGTGCAGGGCAGGATGAGGGCGAGCTGTGAGTTCTCGAGGAGCAGGAAGTGCCCACTGTGTCAGGACTTGGGGCGACTCACCCCGTGAGGCAGGGGCTGGAGTTAGGCAAGTGGAAGCTGTCGAAAGCAGCCAATCCTGGGGTAGAGGCGAGGCCACCCCTTGAAGCTCAGGTGAGTGATCCCAGGGACACTCATGGGGCACTGGACACCCAGAGTCTGAGCTGAGGCCCAGCATGGGTCGGCAGGTGGTGCCATGGGTGTGCTGACACAGCCACGGGCAGCCTCCCTCCACCTGCCCTGATTAGGCAGCCACAGCTCCTGTGCATGCGTCAGATGGGGCGGCATCTGACAGAGCAGAAGCAGCAGGCCTGGGTGGGATACCACCCTGGGGTCACCAAGCAAGGAGGCTGGGAGGCGGCGTCCCCTTACCCAGAACTGCGTGGACCGGCTCCTTCGTATGGCTGTAGAGCTGCAGAGGTGCAGTCCTCTTGGCTGGGTGCTGCCCCTCTCAGGAAGGGCCATTGGCCACCTGCTGCCTGTTGCCTGCCAAGGGTCTCTGGGGCCCGCACGGTTTCCGGGGCCGCCCTGTGACATCCGCTGAGGGCAGACTTTTTTGGGGCTGGGGGCGGGGACAGCCTGTCTCAACCTGTGGCCATGCTCCCTGCTGCTTGCTTCCTGCTGCAGGCCCACCCTCTGGGCCCACCCTGCTCCAGCCCAGCGTCCAGGGTGGGAGGAGGTGAGGAAAGCAGAGTGGGTCTGGCTCTAGCCTGACCGTGGTGATGCTGACGTGATGGGACAAGAGGGGTATGCAGCCCACCTGTCACTTGGTGCCTGGGACCCCAGCAGGTGCCTCACAGAGTCATCATGTAACCACAGGGTCACAGGGAGGTCTCAGGGGTCCCCGGAGCAGGGTTTTCTCTGAGGGCACAGCCTTCATCTTGCCACCAAGGGGGAGCCCATGCTGTCTGGGACACGGGTAGCAGTTACCGCGTGCATCAAGAGGGCAGGGCCGGCCAGCGCTCAGGCAGGGAGAGCCACTCCCCCAAGTGCAGGAGGGGGGCTGCCTGCCCAGAGGGGCACCCGGGAGCTCAGCAGCAGAGACCCAGCCTCTTCCAGGAAAGCTCCGGTGCACCCAATGAGTCCTGGTTCCAGCTCATTCCAAGGGGACAGCCCTCGGCACTGCTCCAGGCACTGTGACCACCGTGATGCAGGTGCACAGAGATCAAATCCTCTTGGGACGGCAGGGTCTAGAGGCAAGGTTGTGCTCCACGGCCAGTGGCCTCTGCTCTCTGATGCCATTGTGGACAGGGCGGCTGGCTCTTCTGCAGGCTGTGGGGAGAGACCAGGAGGATGGAGGTTAGGAGGATGTAGCCGGCGGGGCTGGGACAGTAGCAGTGGGGAACGAGCCTGCCATGACTCCTGCCCGTGAGAGCTGGGACCATGATGTGCCACGCCCATCCCGGGTGCTCCTGACTGGAGGAAACCCATGACAGCTTGTGCAGCAAGGCTTTTGGCCACGGCGAAGTCTCGATTCCAGCCTGGCCTGGCACAGCTCTCATGGTGGGGACTAACTGGGCCAGGCCCTCCCAGCAGGCCTGGCTCCCCAGCAGCCCTGGGGTGCCTCTGGGAGGCTTGTTGGGGGCAGGCCTGGTTGGGTAGGGTCCCTCTACAACTCTGCCCATGAACTACTCACCGCCTCGGGGCACCAGGACGAGCTAGGACCAGAGAATGAAAGCTAGGGAGAAAAATAAGAACAAAAATAGAAACTGAAAGGGCGGGGAGGGAGGAAGAACGGAAGGAAAGAGAGAGAAAAAAGAGTTTGTCGTCTTTCTGGCAAGAATCCTGCGTGCTGACAGACAGGGCAGGTGAGGGGCGTGGCCTGAGTCTGTGGGCAGGGTTAGCATCCACAGCCTCAGGACCTGCCGGCTGTGAAAATACAACAAAACCGGGGGCAGGTCCTGGGAGTACTAAGTGGAGATGACAAGAGACAGGCGGGAGGTGGGGCGCAGGCAGACCTAGCTGCACATAGCAGAGCTCGTGGGGAGGGTGTGGCTGCCGCCAAGAAGGGCTGGGCACGAGGGCGGGGAAGGGGGAATGGCCAGCTGCACGAGAAGGGCTGTCCTCTCTAGAACAAGATCACAGATGCGTGCCACACTGGACTCCCCGGGAAGCCAGAGTCCTCCAGCTCCTTTGGGGCCCGTGGGGGCTGCCCCCTTGCTGCCCGAGCAGAGAGCCTGTGGCCCCAGACATCACTGAGCTAGGTCCAACCCATGAAGGAGCTGGCCCTGAAGTGGGCTGGACCCCACAGGACTCGGGGTCCTCTCTGGCTCCTGGCCTGGGGAGTGTGGACTTGGACAGTCCTCCCAGGCCAGGGGGCCCTGGCGTTCTAGGTTCCACTGAGCACCTGTTTCACAGGGGCATCACAGGGGCCGCACTGAGGCCAGCTCCCAGGGCCCCAGTCAAGCTGCCTTGGGGAGCTGGCCCGGCAACTTTGGTGCACGGCCTGGCCGCTGAGGCAGTGCGAGACGTCAACCAGGCAGCAGGAGCCGGGCGGCGGGGAAGGGCTGCGCCCTTGGGCCCCTGGTCCTGGGTCCTTGCTGTGGCCACACCGACACCCACTCCTGCTCGGCCACGTGCCAAGTGAGTTATCCCATCTCTGCAAGTGCCTTGCCAGCCCGCAAGAGTTTACCTTTTCCTCCAGCTCTTTTATCTGCCTCTTCTGAGTTTCTATTCTTTCTTCTAACTCTTTGATTCTCTGCAATGTTAAAAGGAGAAAAATGTGCGATGTGTTCAGAAGATCTGAGCAACCAAGTGGGAAAAAACTCCACATTTTTCCTGGCTACGAGACCCTCAGAGCTTCCAGCAGCTCCTGAACAGGATGAGTACATGGGACCGCCAGGGGCTCCCCAAAGCCAAAGTCCCCTGGCCTGGGTCACACCCAAGCCTGAGCACAGCGCTTCCAAAGGGAGCAGGGCCACCAGTGGCCATCCTTACCCTCACTGCCCAGGGGACTGACACGGAAAGGGACTACTGGAGCCTGGCCTTGCCAGGCCCTGTCAACAGTACTCCATGCCTCAGCCCAGCTGAGCCTGCGTGGGGAGCCTTGTGCAAAGGAATTTCTTGGAATGCATCCGCGAGGCTGTTCCAGGCCTGCAAGAAGAGCAAGGGAGGCCACTCCCAGGCCAGCCGGATGAGCAAGCATGCAGCAGGGCTGGCTTCACCCCACTGCACTGGGACTGGCCCAGGCGGAGGTCCCTGAGTACTCTTGAGGCCCAGAGAAGGTCAGGGCTGTCACGCTGCCCAGGCAGTGCCCTTGGGTGTGGCCCCTGGGTGGCTCTCCCATGGGCACTTGGCCTGGCTCACAGGGTACCCCCATGCCCCCACACCTGCTGTGCCAGCTGCAGCAGCTCCATGCGCTCCCGCAGGATCTGTGCGTCCCGCTCACGCAGCTCACTCATGACCTGGCGCTTCCACTGCTCCACGGCCACCTTGAGCTTCTCACACTCCTCCTCGGTCAGCAGCGCGGCCACCTTGGCTCCTGCCTCCTGCTGCAGGGCGTCATACAGCATGGCTTCCAGCTCCAGGATGCGCTGGGGGCCGAGCAGAGGCATGCTGGAACTCCTCCTCCACGGGGCGGTGCTCCCGCAGGCAGGTGCCAGGGCCAGGCAGTGAGGGCGGGCCGCAGGCAGGTGCCAGGGCCAGGCAGTGAGGGCGGGCCACAACCAAGCCTCCGGGGCTCCTCTGATCTCTGGTAGAACCACAGACTCTCCCACCACAGAAAAGTCCTCCCGGAAGCCCACCAGGTCAGGGCTCCTGCTGGATACGGAGCCTGCAGGACAGCGGACGCCTGGGGCAGACGGGCAGGGCCCAGGCCAGGACTGGCTGGGGTGGGGCAGGAGGTGCCCCTTCACTGTTCTGGGGGGCACTGTGGGTGGGCGGCAGCCAAAGCACGGGCCTTTGTAATGGCAGCCGTGTACCCGTTGGGTCTGGAGGACAGACAGCGTCTCCGGGACCTGTCACCTTGGAGAGTAGCCAGCTGTCTGCCTCGGGGGACAGGGGACGGGGGTCTTTACTCCAGCCAAGGCAGACTGGAGACCCCCTTATGCAGGCAGAAATGGGACCAAATGGAAACAAAACAAAATAAAAGCCCCTTTGGCCACACGTCCATCTTATTGTTCCTAACAGGCGTGCAACAAACTGTCCCCAGCTGCCACAACCCTCCCGCGCGCAGGCGTCAGCTGTCACTGGCAGAAAAGCAGCCCTGAGTGCTGAGGAGGCTCTGCTGTCCCCAAACCGCCAGCTGCGACTCAGCATGACAATGGTGCCAGAAGGCAACCACGTCAGCACCTGCTCTGCAGCAGGGACCTCTGCACACCCTCACAGCACCCACAGCACCCTCTCACTCACCCCTCACCCTCACTCTCACCGTCACACTCACCCTCTCTCTCACTCATTCCTCACACTCACCCTCACTCTCAATCACCCCTCACCCACACTCACCCTCACTCTCACCCTCTCTCACACTAATTCCTCACACTCACCCTCACTCTCACTCATTCCTCACACTCACCCTCATTCTCCCCTCATACTCACCCTCACTCACTCACCCCTCACACTCACTCTCAATCACCCCTCACCCTCACTCTCATTCACCCCTCCATCCTCGCAGCACCCTCACCCTCATTCACCCCTCACCCTCACTCACCCCTCACCCTCACTCACCCCTCACCCTCACTCACCCCTCACTCTCACTCATCCCTCACCCTCACACTTACCCTTCACACTCACTCACCCCTCACACTCACCCCTCCATCCTCACTCACCCCTCACATTCACCCTTACTCTCACTCACCCCTCACACTCACCCCTCACACTCACTCACCCCTCCACCCTCACTCACCCTGCCACACTCACTCACTCCTCCACAGCTCTTATCTTCACACACAGACCCAAAACACCACCTAGGCAGAGCCTACACACGATCACACAGGAAGTGACCCTCACAGCACTGCAAAGGAAGGGGACCCTGTGAGAGACCACACTGTACTTGTGTCTCGTGAGTTGCTGTGTTGGTTCCCAGTGGCCTTTGACTATGCTGGGCAGCTGAGGTCCTGACCCCCTGCAGTGCACGCCACCATACAGGTGACATATGTGTCCTCTGGAAAGCTGAGATGGTTCTCATGGGTGCTTCTGGAAGCAATAGGGGCCCCAGATTGCCAGCCATGCTTAGGCCCATGTGCTCTGCACCTACAGGAACATGTAGGCAGTGGGCAGCGGGGTACAGCCAGGGCCTCTTTTCCCACTTGGTTCTGAGCCCATGTTTCACCCTGCCACTCACAGCACAACCAGTCTGCCCTCCGGGCCACTCTGGCTGTGGTGTTTCTGGACATGACCACGTCCGCCAGAGCAAAAGAAGCAGGGACCCAGGACACGGTGTCAACTTCTCTCCATACTCACTCCACCTCCTCACTCAGGATGCCAGCAAGACTGGAGCCAGACTAGGGTGGGAGAATGCTGAAACGATCAGTCCTAACGCCTGCAAGCCCTCAGTGCCGTAAGCATTCCAGCATTCTCCTCAGCGTCCACACCGGCAGCCAAACCGAAGCCCCGGGTACATGTGGCAGACTGTGTGCCTGAACAGACGGAGCGCTCTGAGTGGCCACGGGCACACACAGAACGGGAGCAGGCCGAGCTGGGCACATTGCAACACAGGTGACACAGAGGCCCATCCAGATGCGCCCCTCACACCTTTCACCTTCCCCACCAGCAGGGGCACAGAGCATGCGAGGTGTCACCCTGTGCATGCCCACCTTCTGAGCAAGCCCAAGAACCGTCCTGCAGACACACTCATTTGCACACAGGACGTCAGAACTGAACAGTCCGCTGCAGGCCCAGGGAATGACCAGTGATTGGACATGGCCCAGGGGCCACTGTCTGGGACAAGGGAGGCATACGTGTCCCATCAAGTTTTGCTCACTCGGTGGTGGGGTGTCCGCCTCACTGTCAGGCAGGTGAAGAGGCCAGTGGGCAGCGCTGTGGGCAGCCATGGCTGTGGAGGCCCCAAGCACGCACAGTGGTGTAGCCCAGCAGCCCTGGATGACACCGGCGCTCTCCAAGGGCCTGGCAGGGCCTGTGCGCCCCTCGCATCTGCATCGCGACTCTTCTGACAGGAGCGTTTAGAAAGCAGGAAGTGTAGCATAAAATGGCCCAATCCTGCCGAATGTTGAAAGCATACACTAGCTTATCCTGAGGGAGGCCAGGGGAGAGCGGCCAGAAGCCCAGGCTTCCTGGGGCTGGACCTGACGTGAACTGCTCCTTTGTCCAATTTTCTGTGCTGTGAATCAGAGTTCTATGTGCACTGTTTCCATTCAGGAGGGAACAGTAAGAAAGGACAGGCGGATCTCTTCCTTCTCCCGCCCCTCTCTTCAGGATGGCTTTGGAATTCCTCCCCTCCCCCTGCTTGCCAGGCACCTCAGGTGCACACTCCCTGCCTGCCTAGTCAGAGGAGAGGCTGTCCCACGTGTGCTGTGGCCAGGTTTCCAGCCTGGGGTTGGGGACGGCTTCCCACCAGAGGAAGAGCTGGGGGCACAGCATCGGCCAGGGCGGTGTGGGGGCCTCTGGTCTCCACACTGCCCCAGGGTTGTGGGCACCCAGAGACAGTGGTGAGGACAGCAGCGAAGAAAGCCGCATCCGCATACCATAGTGACTGTGATGACAAAACTGGAGGATCGCTGAAGGCCAGCCCAGTGCCACTGCCCGCTCCACGCCCTTCCTGCACCCAGACTGAGCTGGGCTCAGCCCCATTAACCTGCAAAGCCCCTCCTGGTCACACTGGCTTCCACGCTGACCCCAGATGTATTGTAGTTGAGCCCTGCTCCTCCACCTGAGGGGTTGGCACCTCTGTGTGAGGGAGAGGCATCAATGTGTGCTGTAGGCACGCGGCAGACAGCGGAGCCAGACTCCTGCTTTTGCTCTCAGGGACTGGGCTTGTCGGATCCGAGTCTTCCGCCTGGCTGCTCAGACCAGGGCCTACCACACAGAAAGGACTACCATGCTCAGGTTCCCATTACAACATTGTCAAGGTCACCACCATTGTAACCACCACCATCATGACATCACCACATCACCACCATCACCACCATCACCATCACCACCATCACCACCACATCACCATCATCGCCACCATCACCATCACCACCACCACCACCACCATCACCACCACCACCACCACCATCACCATCATCACCATCATCATCATCACCATCACCACCATCACCACCATCACCATCACCACCATCACCACCACATCACCATCATCGCCACCATCACCATCACCACCACCACCACCACCATCACCATCACCACCACCACCATCACCACCACCATCACCACCATCACCCACCATCACCACCACCATCACCATCCACCATCACATCATCACCACCATCACTACCATCACCACCCACCATCACACCATCACCACCACCACCACCATCACCACCACCACCATCACATCACCACCATCATTACCACCACCACCATCACCACCACCACCACCATCACCACCACCACCATCACCACCACCACCACCATCACCACCACCACCATTACCATGACATCACCATCATTACCATGACATCACCACATCATCACCAGTCTTTATCACTACCATCACCATCATCACCATCACTATCACATCACCATCACCACCATCATCATTGTGACCACTGCCTTCACTCTGAGAGCCCCCAGCCTGGAGCAGGTCCTAACAATGAGTCTTTTCAGCTCAGCCAACCTGTGTTGAGTAGCTCAGGTCAGGCAGATCAGTGGGGGAGCCAGGGCCCTGACTGGGCTGGGTGCCCCCTTGACTGTCCTAGTGGTGACATTTGCCCACTAACAGGCCAGAGCCCTCCTGTTTGGCAGAGTTTCCTGCAGGGGATGCATGTGTCTGCTTGGCCAGTCCAGGGGATTGAAGGAGATGGGGGTGGGGACTCAGGGACACCTGCCAGCTCCCAACAGCAGAACCTGCCTTCAACCTGGTCTGCAAGCTAGAAATGAATATGCCATGGCATTCAAGTCGCAGAAGACACAGCAGAGAGGACCACAGCCTCCGCTCCCACGGCCTCCACTTGCATGGAAGACACGGCAGAGGGGACCACGGCCTCCGGTTCTGGTCCTCCCAGGTCACGCAGGGGACAAGACCACTCTGGGGAGCCAGGGTCTGCTGACAGTCCAAGCTAGCAAGACAGAGCCTTAGGAGGAGTGCACCCAGCACACACAAGTTTGCAGCATCCTGTTGAGGGTCACGTGGTCACTGTCACGTCCTGTGTCACATGGGCAATGCCCCTTGCTCTCACCCAGGCACAGCAGGGGGTGCCCTGTCCCAGGAGGCAGAGCCTGGCTGGTCTCCTAAGCTCCAGGGGCAGCAGGAGCAGCAGCCCACCAGACTTCCAGGGGGCCGGCCACGACACACTCTGTACAGGGCACGTTTGCCCTCCTACAAACCCGGGAGTGTGTGTCAGCATCTATGCCAGAGAGCACTGGGCTGCAGCTGCACCTGCTTCCACCTGCACCACTGGTCACTTGTCGTAAGCTGCCCTTCAGAACCCAGCCTTGGGAGGAGAGCAAGGCATGCATCCTGCAAGGTGACACTGACGAACAGGTGTGGCTCACTGCCACAAAGCCAGGCGGGGCGGGGCGGGAGTGCACGGCTCAGGTAACACTTGCTACACTCCGTCTGCTCCCGCCGCCTCCGGTTAATTCACAAATGTGATTTCTAACATCTCCCTCCGCATGTCTGTGCACACCTTACACTGCAACATTTACTGAGGGGCAAGCACATGCTCCCAGGACCCACCCCGTGGGCTGAGGGGTCTCATGGGGGCAAAGCAGAGGTTGTCCCCAGGCTGACCTCTGAGACTCAACCCACACAGACATCTTGGACATTCTGCTGGGCCTGACAGTTTCGCCTGCCTTTGCCCCAGCCTGCCCACTCAGAGCCCCGCAGTCTCCCCTACCTTGTGGGCTTGGTCCAACGACTGCTTCCTGTAGTCCAGCTCCTCATCCAGGTAACCCTTCTGTTTGCTAAACAGCTCCTGGATGAGAGGACGGTGTGTGTCGGCCTCTGGCACCTGAACCAGCAGTGCTGTGCACACCACAGGGCCTCGGGGGACGCCCGCCCACCTTCTCCTGCTCCAGGTCCACCATCTTCCGCTGCAGTGCCATCTCCGTCTCCTCGATCTGCTGGAGCCACTGGGCAACATAGAAGGCTGGTGCCACCAGGTGCCCCCCAGGGCCCTCCTGTTCCCTGGGCATGGCTTTGGGGAGGAGCTGGGCAGGGCACTGCCAGGGTCAGGGTGCGGCTGGCATGGTGAGCTCATCCTGGCCACCGCCCATGTTTCCATGAGCAGAGTCTGGCCGGGGGGGGCAGAAACCACTGTTCCCCTCGTGGCTGGGGCACCGCTCACCCAGGAGGCGGGGCCCCTAGGAGGGAGTTGGTGAGTCAAGCAGTGAATATTAAAGGCTTTCTGACTCTCACTCCATGTAAGGAAACCGAGGCGGAGTCGCAGTCTGGGCAGGTCTGGCTGACTCTTGGAATGGACGCACAGTACACGCCTAATGCTCCTGTGCCAGGTCACCTGTGGCACTGGGGACTCGGGCCCCACTGCCCACTGCCCCTCCCAGGGAGGGGGTCGTCTCTGAACTGAGCACACAGCCTGCTGCTCGGGGCTTGCGGCCACTTTACCTTTTCAGCCAAGGTCAGGACTGTCCTAGCTTGAATGACAACCACCTGCTCCTCGTTGGTCAGATTCTGCAATGGGAGAGAAACGCAGTAAGGGCAGAGGCTGCTGAACGGGCAGGGCAGCTGAATGATGGGTGCAAGGAAGTAGGAGGGGAAGAGGGAAGGGCCGTGCCCAGGGCCCTCGGATGGCAGCGCCCTCCCTCACCCCTAGACCTCCGGCTGTTCTGTTCCTTGCACCAGGGCAGCCTGGGAGCAGCTGGGCCTGTGCAAGAGCAGGTAGGTGGTTCTCCCTCCTGCTCCCGTCTCTCAAAGCCAGTCTTCTGTACATACAGCCATGCAGGGGTGGGGGCAGGGCCATGGGCAAAGGCGGTGTGCCAGGCTTGAAGCCAGGGGCCCGCCGAGTGCTATCCTTGTGACCCCTGTGTCTGCTTCAGGAGCCAACGGAGCATCCCTGGAGGATGCAGACACCTGACAGGTTGAACCCCTGGCCTGTTGGCATTGACCCTCGGGACAGCCCAGAGCAGAGACGGGAGCAGGGAGGGACCTGCCTGGGGCCGCTGCTGGCAAAGGCCCCAACCACCCCAGAACCCCCAAGTCAGGACAGGCTCACTCAGAAGACCTGGATGGCCCTGACTCCCCAGGGCAGCATCTCGGCCAGCTGGCTGGACTACAGAGGGTGCAAGACAGATGGCTGGTGCATGGAAGCGTGGATGGAGGAAGGGAAGGTGGAGGGAGGGCAGAGGGAGGGAGGATGGAGGGGGGATGCAGGGGGGATGGAGGGGGGAAGGTGGGCAGACAGAGCGACAGAAGGAATGTATCTTGGGGCAGAGGGGCCATTATCCTATTCCCTTGGTAACTGTCCCCCGAGGACTTTGCCACAGGAACTGGAGTTCTGCCTCCAGAGAGGCTTAGGGCTCATATAGGGGGTCAGCTCCTGTCCAAAGCCAAGGACATGGGAGCCCCTGGGAGGCTGGGGACACTGGGGAAGCCCCGCAGACAGCCAAGGACTGAAGGGGCCCAGAGCGCAAGCACAGGCCTGGGATACCAGGCTGACGCCCCATGTGGGCTCTGCAGAGGCCCGGATGGCTCCTCCCCAGTGTGGGACCTGCTGCCAGCAGAGGCTGGGCCACGGGAGGTGCTGGACTCGGGGGTCTCGGGTGAAGGTGGCACGAGGGGCATGCACGAGTCAGGAGAGCGACATACACTTACGGCGTTATCCCCCAGAATGTCCAGCTTCTTCATCAGCTCGGGGACCACGATGTCCTGGGAGGCCGGAGACAGCGGGGTAAGCCTCGGCCGGCAGGGGGAGGAGCAGGGGCGGGGGCGGGGCTTACCGGCACACCTTCGGCTTCACAGCACACCTGCAGCGGGCTCTTCCCGTCCACAAAGGGCGTGTGGTGGAGGGTGATGGCGGGCGACTTCCTCTCCCTCTCCTGAGACCGAGCAGAAGGTTGGGTGGGGGGCAGTGGCTCCCCTCCCATCCCATACCCCACCCTCCCTGGGGAGCTGTGCCAGGCCCAGGAGCACCAGCGGAGGGCTCCCAGAAGGTGGTGGCAGAAACCCCTGCCCCTGGAGATGCCCCATGTGCTCCCAGGCTCAGGTAGGCTGTGTGATTCTGGCTCCAGGACGTCCCAGTCGAGTGGTGCTGAGCAGACCCACCCACGAGTGGACCAACAACCCAGGGTCCTCAGGAAGAGCCACCCACAGCCCCTAGGGGACACAGCTGCTGGCCTTGCACAGGCGAGGGCCACATGCAGATCCCAGGACGCCAATGGGGGTGTTCGTCCCCTTGGGGCTTTGAAGGGCGCCTCCATCAGGACCCCGGGTGAACTGCACTCCACTAGGTGGAGGCATGGGTGCTGGGGCTGGGCTGGGGTGGCTGGCCAGCAGAGGTCACACTGTACGGTCCTTCCTCCTAGTCTTGCGGGTACACTACACTGCCCAGCCCACCTCACGGGCGGTACGCGAGCAGTGACGACTGCCCACCCTGGCCTCCCATCACCGTGGTGTCCTCACCCCCAGCCCTCCCTCAACAGAGCACAACCAGAAACACATGGACTGGGCAGATGGCGCCCACGCTGCCACCGAGGTGTGCCTCAGTGTGCATGCAGGCGGCTAGGACACGGAGGACATTCTCCAGAACTCAGGTTGAGCCCTGCCGTCCCTCAGGGAGACCTGACGGAGCTCGGGTGCTGGGTCCCTGCCGTCCCTCAGGGAGACCTGACGGAGCTCGGGTGCTGGGTCCCTGCCGTCCCTCAGGGAGACCTGACGGAGCTCGGGTGCTGGGTCCCTGCTGTCCCTCAGGGAGACCCAGAAGGAGCAACCATGTTCTCTTTGGCAGGATCCAGTCACAGGACAGCCATTTGTGGAGTCAACCAGCAGGTGGAAGGTTTCTCTTGCAAATAAGAAAATAGCTGAACAAAGTAGTCCCCTTTGAGAGGAGACCGAGCAAGACGTGGGCTAGTGTGGCAGGATGGTTCTGGATGGACAATGCCCCTCAGCCCTGGGCTCCCCTGCCTCCAGACACGCTCTGGGCTGGTGACTCGGTCTTGCGGTGGCCACAGAGCATGGCAGGCTGTCACTCAGCCTCCCTGCAGTTTGCACTGCTCTTGTCTTCCTTCCACGACACATCCCAGGGCTCCTACCTGCCCAGGTTGCTCCTGCTCCACTCTCACTGGCCAGCCCCGCCTGGGTGCCTGGGCTGTGTCTGGTCATGTGTGACCTGGACTTTGGGTGCCCCACTCAAAGGTTCACATGGCTCAGGGGGAGCCAGGCCAGGAACCCAAAGCAGCCCCCTAGTGGGCACAGCCATGGTATGTGGGGCCCCAGCCCCCACAGCCCCACAGTCCCCTACACCCCCCTACCTCCAGCTCCAGGACCCTGAACTCCAGTAGCTCATTCTGGTCTTTGGCGTCCTGGACCTCATGCTTTAGCCGAGCCTCCTCCACTTCCATGTGCTTGATCTGCGAGGCAGATGACACATAGATGAGATGGCTCACTGCTCTCCCTACAGGGGCTGAGGTCAGCTCCTACCTGCTGGACAGCTGCTGGTGCCCTGGGTGGACGTGAGGTCAGCCCATGGCCCACTGGACAGCTGCTGTACCCTGGGTAGACGTGAGGTCAGCCCATGGCCCACTGGACAGCTGCTGTGCCCTGGGTGGATGTGAGGTCAGCCCATGGCCTGCTGACAGCTGCTGGTGCCTGGGTGGACGTGAGGTCAGCCCATGGCCCACTGGACAGCTGCTGTGCCCTGGGTGGATGTGAGGTCAGCCCATGGCCCACTGGACAGCTGCTGTGCCCTGGGTGGATGTGAGGTCAGCCCATGGCCCACTGGACAGCTGCTGTGCCCTGGGTGGATGTGAGGTCAGCCCATGGCCTGCTGACAGCTGCTGGTGCCCGGGTGGATAGCTGTCGGCTGCACCCAGCCTGCACCTGGCCAATGCTCCACCCACAGTGCTAATGTTGTGTAGCTGAACTCCAGCAGTGGTTGGCAGGCCCAGTGAGGCTGCCGTGGTCACCTGGGACCAGGCAGTGGGCCTGGGTGTGGAGGAGTGATCTTGAGCCTGGCCAGCCATCAGAGCAGGATGGCCCCTGTGGCTCCCTGGCACTGCTGGAGCCAAGCTAGCTCTGAACCTGAGGGGCACTGCTCGCTGGAGGCCACTGTCCAGGCTTGGCCAATCAAAGCAAAGAGAACCAGTGGTGTCGTTGCCTGACACAGGGGGACCACGTCTTCTGAAGGCAGGGTGTCCAGAGCAGTGTCTTGGGGACACCCAGCTTCTCCAGCACGTAAAGTTGAATTTAGGAACCTTAGGTGACAGGCCAGCACTCAGGGGACTGCATGTGGGAGCACTGGCCCTGGCTCTTGGAGGACTGGCTCGGGTGGGCACTGGGCCTGCCACTGTGTGCTGCACTCAGCCTGCAGTGCAACAAGCATGGGCAATGGCTCTTGGGGGGCTGGCTCGGGTGGGCACTGGGCCTGCCACTGTGTGCTGCACTCAGCCTGCAGGGCAACAAGCATGGGCAATGGCTCTTGGGGGGCTGGCTCGGGTGGGCACTGGGCCTGCCACTGTGTGCTGCACACAGCCCACAGGGCCACAAGCTCGACCCTGTGCCTGGCAGAGCCCAGACCTGAGTGGAGGAGCACACTGGCATGCGTGGGCATCAGTGCAGGAGTGTGAGCAGGGACCCAGCAGCCCGTGGCAATTACAGGGCGGGGGGAGCGCTGAGCCATGCAACCTCCCCACACCCACTGGGCTACTGCTCCCTCCAGGCCAGGCCCAAGACCCTCAGACCTTAGGAGTCACCTGCAGCTAGTGCCCTGAGCTGTGAACTGCCTCTCGAGCACCGGCAGCATGGTGGGCTCCATCAAGAGGAGGACACGGCCTGGAAGGCCAGACCCCGCCCCCATCCATTCTGGCCTGGGGAGGCCCTTGGCCCCGGCAGATGCGAAGTTGGTAATGAGAACACCTGGCTGTGGGCTCTTTTCTGGTCCATCACCCGGCAGACACCCTTCCAGCCAGGCGAACCATGCTGGGGCAGGTTGTGTACTCCTGGAGCCCCTTGTCCACAGGCCAGCAGGGCTCGCAGCCAGACAGGGACGCAGGAGAGGCCTGCTCTGAGCACCTCAGGGTGCCCCCCCCCCCGAGCATCATGGGCCTTTATGGCAATGTGCAGGGGATTCTGGCAGCTTCCCAGGGCAATGCCCGCCCAGGGCCTTGTGCTACCTCATTCAGGGGACCCAGAGCACAGCAGAACAACGCATGTATGGGGATGCAGTTCCATCCGGCTCTGCTGGACCTGGGGCACAGGGCCCTGCGTCCTCACCAGGCGCCCTGCCCTGCAGGATGGGGAAGGACACAGCCAGCAGCCTGGGTGCCAATGGCCCTGGGGTGGCGGGCCAGGAACACTCCTGTCCCCTGATGGCATGCCCGTTCTTGGGATGGGACAGCAGGGACCAGTCCACCAGACCCTGGGTGCCTGCACGCCCTACGAGCATGGGGTGAACTGGGCACCTGCTTGCCAGAGGGGGGCTGGTTGGGTGCTTTCTCCTGGCTGAGCCGTACCTTTTCCACCAGCTCTTGATTCCTTCGATACAGTGCTTGCTTCTCTTCAATCCACTTCATGTCCTAGAGAAGGAAATTAAAACTCAGGAGGAGACAAAATGTCAGCCACGCCACTGCCACCGGACAGCCACTGGCACCCTTGGCGCCTGGCGCTGGAGGCCAGCCCTGGACACCTGTAGGTCCCACAGACAGCAGAAACCGTTTCCTTGGTGCAGGGAGATGGCGTGGAGCAGCCTCAAGAGCACCCCTTGGGGACACTGCCTCCTCAGACAACACCCCGGTGCAGGTGTCACAGGTACAGGGGACCCTGACCCTGTGGGAAGAGGTCACTTGGGGTGCAGCTCTGTCCACTTTACCCGCAGACCACAGCAGAAAGCAGCCGTGTGCCCCTTCCTGTTGCGGGCCATGTGTCACCTCACTGAGCGCACCCTGAGCCCCTGCTGCGAGGATGCCCAGTGCCCCTGGCCAGCATCCCCAGCCAGCACTCCCTGCCCACCCCACCAGGGGCATGCAGCCCCGCTGGGAGGAAGCTGGAGGGCACAGGCTGGGTTTCGGCTCCCTGTTCCAAGGCTGCCTGTACAGCCTGTGCCCAGCAGGAAGGGCTTGCTTCTGTCAGAGAAGGAAGCGGTCTCCACTTGCCCCACTCCGCCCCGCCCAGTCACCTAGCCACTTGCCGCAGCATGGGTGGCAGCTCCTGTGAGACCGGCCAGTGTGTTAGAGTTGAGGAATCTGAGGACCCACTGGGAGCCCGTGGGCCTGGGCATGGGGGTGAGGCACAGCCCCGTGTGGGTCAGGTACTCAGTCATGGGTGAGGCAGCACTGACCCCGGGGCTCGTCCCCTGGCCTGCGCGTGAGGATCCAGACAGGTAGCTGGGCCTGGAGAAGCATGTCCCTGCTCCCAGATTGGCTGCAACTTGCCCTGCTCTGCATGTCCGCAGCCCAGCTCACCCGGGCCTGCCGCCTTGGGGACAATAACCGCAAGGGATGTGAGGAGCCGTAGATCTAGAGGACGGGGACGACAGGGTCTGCATCTCGGATGCTCCCTTCCCCTGGGGAGGGGCTTCTGCAGCCAAAACCAGGCAGGAAGTTCTGTGGCTGGGCAGGAGCCACAGGGTCGCCGTCCCGGCCCTGACTCAGAGCCCAGAGAGGACTCGGAGGACTGCTGGGTCCTGCCATGAGAGGCCCTGTCCTGCCGTCCCGGGCTTCTTGCCTCACTCCAGGCTTGCTGTGGGACTCCTCAGGCACGGATGCCTTCAGCTTTGGACCCCCATTTGGTGGGACCCGCACAAGGTACAGTCCTAACATGCACAACCGCTGTCCACCTTGCCTGCAGGGGCCCACCCGGGACCTGTGGACACTCACCTGCCCCTGCTCAGCCAGTGCCTTCTCCAGGTCCTCCACCCGCGCCTGCAGGGGCCCACCCGGGACCTGTGGACGCTCACCTGCCCCTGCTCAGCCAGTGCCTTCTCCAGGTCCTCCACCTGTGCCTGCAGGGGCCCACCCGGGACCTGTGGACGCTCACCTGCCCCTGCTCAGCCAGTGCCTTCTCCAGGTCCTCCACCCGTGCCTGCGCCCTCTGCATGTCTGCCTGCAGCTGCTCGCGGGTCTGCAAGACGGAAGGGGACAAGGGTGTCGTCTCTCTTGGCTGGGTGGACAGGTGAACGGACAGACAGGTGGCACACAACAATGCGGGAAGACAAGATGGACAACCGGACAGACAGGCGGTGCACATGGCAGGGATAGCGCCTCGGTGGCCCTGGCCTGCATCTGACTGGGCTGAGAAGAGACTGCCCACTCCTAGGAAAATGGGAGTCAGGCTTCCTGAGTCCTGAGACCACCTGGCACACACGCCCTCAGCACTGGGCCGGGGAGAAGATGCCTCCAGCTGTTGCAGTGCCCAGGAGCCTGACTGGCGAGCACCCTGCCACGCACCCCATCCCAGCTGCCCAGGGGCCTGGTTGGCAAGCGCCCTGCCACGCATCCCATCCCAGCTGCTCAGGGGCCTAGCTGGCGAGTGCTGCTGGCTGCCCAAGGGCCTGGTCAGTGAGCGCCCTGTTCTGCAGCCTGGCCTGGCTGCCCGGGACCACTGGGCACTCAGGCACAGGTCACGTCTCTGAGCTCTTTCCACCTCCCCGCCCCGGTGGGTCTTGGCCACATTGTCCGGGGCCGCTGGCCAGCACAGCAGGACACAGCCTGCACTGGCAAGCACTTCACGGCAGGTACCTCCGTGGCATCCAAAAGGCAGCACAGGAACCGTGGGCAGAACACCAGGCAGCCAGGGTGGATGACCCGGGCAGGGTGCGCTGCCAATGCTGCCCTGTTCTGCAGCCTGGCCTGGCCCCTACTGCAGTCCCTCAGAGCAGGAGCCTCCTGCCCCATGGGTGACTGGGGGAGTGGGTTCCAGAGAAGTCCCAGACCCCACAGCTACTTGCTCAGGAAAGCCCCTGAGCTCCACAGAGAGAGGTCCCTACACAGCACGGCAGTCACAGCTGCACGCCAGCTTCCTCTGGGAAGAGGGCTTTAGGCTGAGAGCGCAAGAGTGCCCTTCACCACCCAGCGCCATCTCCAAAGCCTGGAGCCTGTGCAGCCCCCAGTGGCCAGCAGAGGGCGCCTACAGCCCCAGTGCTGGCCTCGGGATACCATTTTAGGGAAGCTGGGGTGATGCAGGCAGTGCTTGCGCAGTCCCAGTGCTGTCCCTCCCTGCTGAGGGCCCCAGCTGCCTTGCCTTTGGATCCTACAGGCCCTCAGAGGAACAAGCACGTGCCCAGCCAGGGCAGACCAAGTGCAGGCCCTGCAGAGGCTGCTTCCCAGTGGCTGTGGAAAGGAGGGGAGGGGAGGGGAGAGGAGGTCAGGGCAGAGGCAGGAAGGGGAAGAAAGGGGAGGGGAGGGCAGAAGAGAGGAGGGAAGGGGAGGGGAGAACCCTGCCCTGCTGGTAGTGGAGACCCCAGCTGGTGCCACGGCAGGTGGCAAGGGGACAGAGTAGAAGCCACTTAGACCTTAACTTCTCGCTCTGCATCCAGTGTCCCTCCGACCTGCTCCTGCAGCAACGCATACGCTCTCTGCAGTGCCTGGTACTCCATGGTCAGCTGCCGGAAGCGCAGCTCCGTCTCCTCCTTGGCCACGCCCTGTGGTGGCATCAGAAGAAAGCCAACATCAGCACCGCCCGCAGCCAACATGGCCCAGCTGTCCCCAGTGAGGCCCCAAAGAGTGGTGGCAGCCAGGGAACCCCATGGAGTCCGGTGGAAGGGTGCCTGGGACAGCCCTGAGTCTCTGCAATGGACAGCTAGGCCAGGCTCCCCCGAGACCCCTGCTACTCGGGCCGCCTGGGTCTGTGACCTTTGTCACTGACGGAGCCCATACGAGGCCTTGGTCTGTGCTGTGTCGCAGGAGGTGAACCGAGCTTCGTGGGAGGACTGACTCCGCCAGGGTCATGATCCTGCCGCCGTCCCAGCTGCCACCTCTGCAGGGGTACCTGCTGGCCCCACAGCCCTTGGGAATAGGGAGGGCCCGTGCCCAGTAGAGCTGGCGCCTAGAAGCCTGACCTGGCCCGGCACCCTGCAGCTCTGGGCACTGCCGTGAGACTCCACCTACCTCCTCCAGGTCGTCGTCCGGGGTGCACGGGGTCTGGTCCGTCCTGTCCGTGTGGTAAGAGATGGAGGAGCCATCCGACTCCAGTGACGCCTCTTCGTCATAGCCAAAGAAGGTCTCCACGACAATAGGCTTCGGGGCCAAGGGGCGGCGTCAGTGTGGGCCCGGCTGCCTCCTGCGGCTGCAGCACCCCATACCTGCCTCTGCCCCGAATGCCCACGCAGGGCCCTCCCCAAGAAGCTGCCAGCCGTGGCGGGACACACACAGGAAGGACACTGGGCACCTGCTGGTCTCAGCAGGGAACAAAGTAGGGCAGGGCCTCGCCCCAGTGGCCCCTCACCACTGCCTCCGACCCCTCAGGGCTGTGCCGGGGTCGCTGCCTCTTCTTAGCTCTTTGTCCTCTGCAGACCCGTCCTGGTGCCCACCCTGAACTGGTCCCTGGCTGCCTGCTACTCTGTCAGCCTTCCCTGAGGCCCCCACCCTGGGCTCCCCTATGGCTGCCCCCTGCAGATCCCCCCATAACCCCGCTTTCCTGGAGCCGAGCCAGGCCCCTCGAGGAACAGCTCTCCCTGAAGTCCCCACAGACATGTCTGCCATCAACTAGGGGGCAAGGAGGCCCAGAGGCCTGACTCTCCTGTCACTGCAGGTCAGCTGAGTCCCAACATCGCCTGTCCGTTCGTCCAGTCCGGTTGCCCCAGGCTCAGTCATGTCCTCACACCTGCTCTCTGCCTTTCTCTGCCTTGGCTTCCTCCATAGCAGCATCGCAGCGAGCGCCAAGGCCAAGGTTGAGCAAAACACCTGCGGAGAACCCCCCAGCGGCCCACAGGCCCAAAGTGCAGGGAAGCTGGGACTGGGGGCTCCTCCTCAGCTCCCAGTTTAAACCAGAGCTTTGTGGTATAGGTCCCCCCAGGCCTCCAGTTTCCTAGATACGCAGTTCAGCCACATGAGGCCCGTGTAGGGCCACGGCGAGGGCTGTGGCAGCGGCAGACTGGGCTGGGACATGGCTAGAGCCAGGACCCCAGGCAGGCATGGCCCACAGAAGGTCAAGAGTGTGGCCAACTACAGCATGGCTGTCAGCCAGCCATCCTTGGAGCTGTGTCCTGCAGGGCATCCCTTGTGCCTGTCACCTCTGGCTCCCCTGAGGATCCCCGGGCACAAGGCTGGTCTTGGAGCTCAGTGCTGGGGGGTGTCCCGCTTGGGTCCTGTCCCAGGAAGGAGTGAGTGACAGTGTCGCGGCTGTCCACTTCGGTGCCAAGGGCACCAGCCCTACCTTGGGGAGCTTCGCCATCTTCTTCCTCTGCTTCCGTAATCGCAGGAGTTTGTCACGTTCCTGCAAAGGCCAGTGGCGGAGGTTTCCCGAGTGCTGACCCCGGCAGCTGTGCACACAGCCTGCTGCTCTGGCAGTCAGAGGTCCGTGTCCACATGCTGTCCACAGCCCTGTGCCAGCTGGACATGTGGCCTGGCCCCAGGTGCCACCCAGACTGTGTGGGCAGCCTGTGCCCCCCAGGCCTGGTCAGGGGCCACGGGGTTGGTTCTGAGAGCAGGTACAACCTGCTCCTGTTGGGGCAGGGCACGGGAAAGGCCCACATAGACAAGGGAATTTCTAGAAGGACCTATGGCCCAGGTCCCTCCTGCTCTGCAGAAACAGTGCTCACCCCTACACGGAGAAGGACTGCTGCCACATGTTGCCACCCGGAGCCTGCCCCTAACTAGGGGATAACACTGCATTTGGGTGGCTCAAGAGGGTCTGTCCATATTGCCAAGGAGAGCCTCACAGTGGGGGGCATCCTGAACGGGCGGCCATCGGCCTCCCAGGGTCCAGGAGAACAATCACGTGGCGGGTACCATCTCCCTTGGGCAGCACAGACCTCCCCCTGCCCCCCCGGGCAGCACTGACCCTGGGCTGCGCCTTCCTCCCCTGTCGGGCCAGGCAGGGGACCACCTGAAAGGCTGCTATGGCCGCCTGGCAGCCTCAGCACGGGAGGAGCTGGGACGGCTGTGTTGGCCCAGGGCGGGCATGGACACTTACCAGCACGCTCTTCACGTAGCCAGCAGTCTCGAGGGTCTGGGAAGAAAAAGGCCCCATGAAACACCTCCCCAGACACCGCCCCCAGAGTGGCTACCAGCCTCCAGCCCTGGCTGCCACATCCTGACCCAATGTCCTGGAGTTCTCTGAACTTCTGGAGCACTTCTTGTCTGCTGGACAGCAGGGATCTGCTTGGCTGGTATTACGGACACCTGATATGGACGAGAGCTTGCCACCCCTCCACCTGGTTTTGCAGGAAACCTCTTCACTTAGAAGGGGGCCATGGCTTCCTGGCCACACTGCCAGTGATAGAGGGGACAGCACTGACACAGAACAAGGACAGCAGCCCTCCCAACATGGCCTCCTGTAGACTGCAAGTTCCGACAAGAAGCCGGAGGGGCCAGGTTGGGACAGCAGGTGGCAGGGGGTGTCCCTGCGGGCAGACTGGCAAACTGCTGGGGGCAGCCCAGGAACAGGCCAGGCTGCCGGAGGCCCCAAGCCGGTGCCTTGGGAGAGGGTGGGGCCTGAATCCACGCGAGTTTCCATAAGGACAGAAGGAGAGATTCTGACAGAGAGGGTGCCAGCCTGAGGAAGACAGAGGCGGAGGTTCAGGGAGGCAGTGGGTGCTGACAAGCCTCCAGGCGCTCCCTGGGGCCCAAGAGGGGAGCCTAGCCGGAGTGTCCCAAGGGAACGCTCCACAGGTTCCAGGAGTTTGGAAATGTGGCTTCTGGACTGGGGGAGCAAGACGTGGCTCTCTTGTGTCATAGGTCCTGTGTGTGTTGTGGGGGAGATGTGGCTGGGGGTCATGGGCTCTGTTTGTCGTGTGTATGTGTGTGTGTATTGGGAGGAGAATAGACATGGCTAAGGATCATGAGCCCCGCGTGCGTGCGCATGTATATGTGTGTGTAACAGACATGGCTGGGGTGTGGTTCCTATGGGAGAGCAGATACGGCCAAGGGTCATGGACCTTGTATATGTGTGGCGGGCAGCAGACATGGCCAGGGATCGTGAGCCCCGTATGCAGTGGTAAGTGACAGAAGTGCAGGAACTGACAGGCAGCCTAAGGACAAGCCGGGAGCAGAGGGTGGCGTGGCAAGGCAGCCCGGGTCACACTCCCTCAGCCGCAGGGGCTCCCACGGCCGAGCGCCCACGCCGGGAGCGCCCACCGCACCTTGGAGAGCTCGTCAATGAGGCTCTGCTGCTCGGCGAGCTGCACTTTGAGGAAGTCGATCTCTCTCTCATCCTGACTCTGGTCCAGGTCGTTCAGGGAGCTGGGCCTGCGGATGACGCCGGCTCGCTGCCTCTGCAACGCAGACATGGCACAGTGGGAGGACATGGGGTGCCCTTGCTCGGCCTGCCTGGCCTGGGCTGCTTACGGCACCCCTAGGGGCTGCCCAGGCCGACGGCCCCCGGGGACACAAGGCCTGGCCAATTGCAGCTGGCACGGTGGCCCTGACACGAGCAGAGCCGCCAGTCCTAGAGCGCGGCGATGGGGACCACAGCAGGCCAGGGCCAGCCTCAGGGCCAAGGCCAGCGCCCTGGCGGCCCTCACCATCTCTATGTTCTCCTGGGTGATGAACTTCAGCTTGTTCTCCACTCGCCGCAGGGTGTGCGACAGATCCTCGTTTTTCCGAGTCAGGCGCTTGTTTTTATCCAGCAGTGGCTTGTACTGACTCTCAGCTTCTCTCAGGCGCTTTAACTGAAAGGCAAGGGGGGTCACTGGTGACTGCTCTGAGTCACCAGCAGAGCAAGCGGGCCCTGGCGGACACCTGCTGTGCGAAGGAAGAAGTCCAGCTCGTGCCAGGTGGGCCCAGTTGGCTGCGGTCTTCTAGACACTCAGTGGTCAGGGGACAGGGGCCAGGTGGCTGGGCGCCACGTCCTGGGGTGGGTCCTATCCCCCCACAGATGAGGAGGAAGGAAAAGCACAAGCTCTCTGTTGCTACCAGCCCGCTGAGCCCAACTCCAGGAAACGTAGACGCCCCACACCTCTGGGCCCCAAGCACAATGGAAACGGCCCTTGCAGCTCCCTCAGCCCCAACAGCCTGCACAGCCCTCACAGCCCTCAGTCCTCACAGCCCTCAGCCCTCACAGCCCTCACAGCCCTCAGTCCTCACAGCCCTCAGCCCTCACAGCCCTAACAGCCCTCAGCCCTCATAGCCCTCACAGCCCTCACAGCCCTCAGCCCTCACAGCCCTCACAGCCCTCACAGCCCTCAGCCCTCACAGCCCTCAGCCCTCACAGCCCTCACAGCCCTCAGCCCTCAGCCCTCACAGCCCTCACAGCCCTCACAGCCTTCAGCCCTCTCAGCCCTCACAGCCCCCTCAGCCCTCACAGCCCTCACAGCCCTCAGCCCTCACAGCCCTCAGCCCTCACAGCCCTCACAGCCCTCAGCCCTCACAGCCCTCAGCCCTCACAGCCCTCAGCCCTCACAGCCCTCACAGCCCTCACAGCCCTCACAGCCCCCTCAGCCCTCACAGCCCTCACAGCCCTAACAGCTCTCAGCCCTCATAGCCCTCACAGCCCTCACAGCCCTCAGCCCTCACAGCCCTCACAGCCCTCACAGCCCCCTCAGCCCTCACAGCCCTCACAGCCCTCACAGCCCTCACAAACCTCAGCTCCCACAGCCCTCACAGCCTTCACAGCCCTCACAGCCCTCACAGCCCCCACAGCCCTCAGCCCTCAGTGTCCATGACCCCCACAGCGACCACCCCATTGCTCACCAGCTCGTTCCTCTCTTCCGACAGCAAGGCGTTGCGGTCCTCCAGCTTGCGGACGATCGCGCTCAGCTCAGCGATTTTAAGTTGGAAGCGCCGGGCATCCTTTTCATCCAACTGCTGTTCCTAAAACAAGAACCAACTGCAAACTACGGCTCCCAGGCCGGTGCCAGTCCCCAAGTCGCGCACCCATACATGCCTGCTCCCTGAGGCCCTGTGGCTGCTGGGTGGGCAAGGGGCATGTGGGGCAGTACCGAGCCCGGAGCACCCTGCATGGTGGGGCAAGGACAGTCGGAGGAGCAGAATGTGTGCAGATGTGGCGGGCAGGGACAGGCAAATGCAGGCACACGGGCAGACTGGGGCTGCCGGCTGCACCTGCACGGGCTCTGCACCCTCCTTGCTGGGCTGCGCCTCCCAGGAGAGCCTGGGTGGACATGCGGCACAGGTAAAGCTGCTCATACAGACTCAATGAAATGGGGGCACGCTCCCCCAGAGTCTCGGGGGCCACTGGATGCCACCCAGAGGGAACCCCACTTTTACCCAGGTCCAGACTCTACAGCAGGAGGGGCTGGGTAGCTTAGCTAAGCTGCTTACAAACATCACTCTCTGTGCTTGAGGTGCCACTGGCCTAGGGCGGCTCAGCTCAACCATGGACGGGTCTGGCCTCAAAGCAAGCCAGCAGGTGTCTCGGGGAGCACGGGGCACAACCCAAGTTCCTCATTCAACAGGTGCAGGAGAGGCTGGGGACCCGCCCCCCGGGATATCCCAGAACCTTAGAGGAGTGTGAGTGTGGCATCCCAGTCCTCGCCGCTGCGGGCGGCTGGGGAGGAACAGAGCACAGCTCTCACGAGAAGCAGGTGAGAGGACTGGCTACGCGGGGTGGAGGGAGCCAGCAGGCCGAGGCCTGTGCACGTGGAGACGGAGTGCCACACGTGGGAATGGGGTGCCCCCAGCAGCCTGCCTGGAGGGGGTCCTGGGCAGGGCACAGGCTGCGCTCAGCTCTGGACTCCTCGGAGCAGCCTCACTGTGGGGATGCTGGGCTGGCCGGGCGAGGCCTGGAGGTGCTTACGGGGCTTCCCGGGCGGTCTGAGGCGTCTCCTGCACCGCTTGCATGAGGAAGGTCCCGTCTGGGGCTGCCTGTGTGCCGCTCGGCCTCACGGACCTGCGACAGCCGCTCATCTAAAGCCTCCTTCTGCAGCTGCAGCCTCTGCGCGTGCCCGGCTTGCGCCCCTAACTCTCTCTCCAGCACGAAGACTGCTCTGTCTTTAAATTTTATCTCCTCCATCTACAAGGAGAACAGAACACAGTCACACACACACACACGCAGAGGTCGGACCCATTACCGCAGAAATGGGAGGAGCGGTGGCCCTGCCTACGTCCAGGCACAGAGCTCCCGCCTAGCCAAAGCCCCAAGCACCTGCGCCCAGCCAGGGTGCCCCGTGGAACCCCCACAGGGTCCCCAGCTGCCCTGATGGGACCCCCAGGTGTCCACGAGGGTTGGCATTGTGTGGCACAATTGAGGGAAGTGTTGAGCTCAACACAGGGACCCCGAGAGTCCCCCCACCCCAGACCCCACCTGATTGGGAGCCACAGCTGGGCAGACCAGGGCATTTATGGCATGACGCGGGACAGTGCGGGGCACCTCGTCCTCTTGCAGCCTCTCCCTGCCCTGAGGTGTGACCTTGTCTTCGCAAAACTGCATTTCCCCACTACCCTGGGGTACCAAGGCTTCAGTGGGGGGCAGTCTGTGCCCTGCTTGTCTGCCCATTCCTGGCCTCCTCACCTCCCCCAGATGTGGCGAGAAGCATTCCTGGGCAGCCAGCAGCCGCTGGGTCAGCTCCGCCTGAGGCACGTGCTTGGCAGGAGGTGGCACTGCAGGCAAGGGAGCCACGGAGTCTCGGGATGAGTATAACTGAGCCGATTTGAATAGCTCAGGCAGAGAGGGGTCCTGGGCTGGACGTAACACAAGAGACTTAACTGCTGAGTTCCCATTGGCCAGGGGCTGGGAAGTACTGGAAGCAGCAGCCAATGACTTAGAAAAGCAGAGACGAAGACAGCCAAGCCCGGGGAGTGGCATGGCACACTGACATACTGGGTGCCCTCCAAAACACCAGGAAACAAAGCACTGAGGCCTCGCACCCCGAACCCTGGCCCCTACGCTGAGCAGCAGCCACCTCAGCCGTCCAATGGGCCATGAGCAAGGGGTTGGCACACAGACACAGTGTCCGGGCCCTCTGCAGGCTCCGCATCCTGTCACTGAGGGGCCCTCAACAGGACCCTCCTGTCCGCCAGCTGGGCCCCGAGAGGAGGCGGGCTCTCCAGGGGACGGTCCTGTCTGTGAGCCGGGACCCCCTAGGGAAGGCAGACCAAGAAGTCCTCATCCAGGGCCTGGAGGACGCTTCTCCACCCCAGGCTGTCTCCGTTCCACCCACGGACTGGGGCCAGGCCGAGCCGGAGGCTGCCGCAGCCCCTTGTTTCACACAAGGCCGTGAAAATTGGAGGGCAGTGCCCATATCTCATGCCCCACCTGTCCCAGGCTGCCATTAGTGGCCAGCCCTCTCGGGTGGTCCCAGAGCTGAAACAGGGAGTCCTGGCACACCTGTCCTACCACGGCAGCCACCACTGCCCCCCGACAGTCATGGTGGCTTCCAAATGTCCACTCCTGGACAGATGAGAGTGGGACATGTGGGCAAAGATAAGGCCAGAGCCTACTGACTGCCTGCAGCATCTGCAGGAGAGGAAAGGCAGGGCGGTTGGGAAGAGGGAGGGGCAGGTGGCAGCGATGCTGCCATCACAGGTTCAGCCGCAGCCAAGGCCCAGGCTGTGACACGCCTTTAAGTTCCTATATGACACCCATGGAATACCACCCAATGACCTGACAGAGAGCAGAAACCGGCTGGGGTGGTGGGGGCGAGGAGCCCCCAGTGTCAGGCATGGAAGCAAGACCGGCTGTGAGCCTGCAGGACCGCCAGGCTGAGCGGACGGCTCCGCAGGTTCTACGTGCACAGCAGGGACAGGATCCGCGTTAGTGACTTGACACAGGACGAACACGTGCTGCTCACTGAATGAATCAACGCAATGTGTAAATTTAAAGAAAACAGCTTCCCTAAGAAGACTTTCCTAAGTGTCTAAGGAAGCGGTACACTCATATCAAATTCACTGAGGCAACAGAAAAATGAACTTTTAAAAATTGTATTTTATTTAATGGAAAGACAGATTTATAATGAGAAGGAGGAACAGAGAAAGATCTTCTGTCCACTGGTTCACTCCCCAAGTGGAGTTGGAGCTGAGGCTATCTGAAGCCAGGAGCCTCTTCCGGGTCTCCCATGTGGGTACAAGGTCCCAGGGATTGGGGCCGTCCTCTACTGCCTTCCCAGGCCACAAGCAGGGAGCTGGATGAGAAGTGGAGCAGCTGGGACATGAACAGTGGCCGCATGGAATCCTAGCAGATGCAAGGCAAGGAGGATTTAGCCACTAGGTTATCATGCCAGGCTCCAAAATCAGTTTTTTAGGCTAGCCAAATCTAAGCACCAAAAGTTGTCAAGGGGGCCCAGCACAGTAGCCTAGTGGCTAACGTCCTGACCTTACACATGCTGGGAGCCCATATGGTGCTGGTTCTAATCCTGACAGCCCCGCTTCCCATCCAACTCCCTGCTTGTGGCCTGGGAAAGCAGCTGAGGATGGCCCAAAGCCTTGGGACCCTGTACCTGCGTGGGAGACCCAGAGGCGGCTCCAGGCTCCTGGCTCTTGACTTTGGATCAGCTCAGCTCTGGCCATTGCAGCCACTTGGGGAGTGAATCAGCAGATGGAAGATCTTCCTCTCTGTCTCTCCTTCTTTCTATATATCTGACCTTCCAATGAAAAAATAAATCTTAAAAAAAGAAAGTTGTCAAGGAAATGTAAGAAAAGAGAAGATACTCCTGAATCCAGAAACCTAAGAAAAGGAAAACATAGAAAGACCTTTCGCAGTTCATTCCAGAGGTGCCAAGCTGATGATAAATTTGAGATCCAATTGTACGATTTACCTCCATCAATAAAATACGGAAGATCTCAACTTACGCAGAAAAAAAAAAATTTGTTTTAACTTTTGCCTCCATCCTCAGTAAAAGTGAAGAGAATTTCCTGGGTCCCATGAACGCAAGCACACAGGTCCGCTCCCTGCTGCCAGCCCCTAGGCAATGGGCCAGGCTGGGCATGGGTGCCTCACTCAGGGCCAGGCTGGGCATGGGTGCCTCACTCAGGGCCAGGCTGGGCATGGGACCCTCACTCAGAGCCAGGCTGGGCATGGGTGCCTCACTCAGGGCCAGGCTGGGCATGGGTGCCTCACTCAGGGCCAGGCTGGGCATGGGTGCCTCACTCAGGGCCAGGCTGGGCATGGGTGCCTCACTCAGGGCCAGGCTGGGCATGGGTGCCTCACTCAGGGCCAGGCTGGGCATGGGTCCCTCACTCAGGGCCAGGGTGGGCATGGGACCCTCACTCAGGGCCAGGCTGGGCGTGGGGGTGGGATCATGCCAGGCCTGACTGGGTCAGTCACTGCAGGAAGTCAGTAGACGACTGGGGCTCTGCACCTGCCCTCCTGTGAAGGATGCTGGACTGGGGAGACATGGCAAGAACTCACAGGTCCCCGCACTGAAGGCTGGTGCAGGAACACACTAGGACGCCCCCTCTGCTCCCGCCGAGGCCAGGTCGGGTCAATGCCTGGGCTGGGGGCAGCATGTCATCCAGGGTGGCCCCTGCAGGCTCCCTCTCCCCTGCGGGCCTTTCCCACAAAATGGTCAGACACCGGGTCCGATGGGTGCCCCGCTTCTGGGCCTGGGCACAGCCACTGTGCGGAGAGATTTCTAAGCTCACTGACCAAGGGCTGTCAGTGCAGGAACTGGGGGACACACCCCATCCTGTGCACACGGCAGGGCACCCTGAGCTAAGGTTTGACCACATGAGTTGTGGCTTCCTTGAGTTCCCCTACTATCAGGGGTTTCGGTGGGAGCTGCTGGCCTGGGCACCTCGAAAGGGCCTCCCTGTCTGGGCCTTGTGGGTTCTTGGCCCTTCACCCGAGGAAGTCTCCGCTGAAGGCAAAGGCACCCAAATGGAGCCCCTTCCAGCCCCTTCTTGGGGTTTGCCCAACTGCTGTGGGCTGCAGAGGGGGGACCACGGCACACAGCACATGCTCCCAGGGAATTTCCACCCACTGGTTCTCTTTCCAAATGACCGCACCAGCTTGGCGATGCCAGAGCCAGGAGCTTGGCACTCCATCTGGGTCTTCCACAAGAGCAGCAGAAGCCCTAGCCCTGGGCCCTCTGCTGTCTTCTCAGGAGCATGAGCAGGAAGCTGGAGGGGAAGCGGGTGGGCAGGACTGGAATGGGCCTCCTACAGGTGGAGATACCATAGATGAGTGCTGAGTGAAAGGGGCTGCACACTCCACCCCATCTGGAGATGGGGTGTGGGTGTGCCCCTCGGCCACCCCAGAGGCCCAGCACAGCCCTGGCACCACAACAGGTCCCCCGGCAGTGCCAGGGCTGGCAAGAGGTCGGAGATGGTGGTTCCTGCTGAGCTCACCCAGGGTCATGGGGTGGGGGCCTCTGGAGTCCCTAGGGTGTCTGCCAGGGTCGGGGTGGGGAGCAGACCTGTCCAGACATAGTACTCCTGTCCTGCTAGGTGCTGCCCTGTGCCCCCTCCACCAAGGCCACTGCAAGGCAGGGTCCCTCGCCTGGCACCTCCAGAAGCTCCATTTTCTGTTTGGAGCCAGCCTGCCTCTGGCAATGCATGAGGGTAACAGCAGGTGCACAGCAACATGAAGTCCGGCTAACAGTTTATCCTGGAACTTAGCCGACTGCCTTTAAAAGCAGTTCCTTAGCAGAGTCAGGCCACCAGCACCCTAACCTTTACCATCTGGTGCCTTCATTTCTTCCTTCTGCCTTTTTTGTACCAACTCCAGTTCCTCTTTGGGGACAGAACAAAATAGAGAGACAGGATAGCAAGACCCCATCAGAAGCACACTTTCCGTCTCCTGGGGTTAGCCTTGGGGGGCAAGGTCCCCACATCCCGAGATCCGCCTTCAGCGCTCCTAAGCGGAAAGAGAACAGCAGGGGGAGCGCTCCCCTCGCCCCTCCCGAGGGTGCCAAGAGGGCAGGCAGGGAGGGAGGGGCACAAAGCCCTGAGGAGCAGCCTTCCAGGGGCCGGTGCCAACACGGGTGGGCGTCAGGGAAGCTCTGACGATGTTAGCTGTGGAAGCTGAAAACACTGCCGGGCAATGAGCACGCAGGCCGCGGCTGCAGGGAGAGATCGGGACCCTGGGGTACAATGCCCAAGGAACAGGGTTTAGGAGATAGGAGACAGAGTGGGGGAAGCGGCGGCTGAAGGCCACATTGGGTCACAGTGGCACCTGACTGCCAAGGGCACTTGGGTCCCGCACAGGCTCCCGCACAGCATCCTGCCTTTGACTCAGCAGGCTTCAGGCTCCGGTGTGGCAGTGGGCACCAGACCAGCTATGAGACCAGAGGTGAGCAGCTTGCCCAGCCAAAGGCGGCAGGCAGGGAGAGTGGCGCCACCACCCGTGGCAGTCTCGCCAACCCTTGTTCCCCACGCGGTGAAGGGCATGCTTTGCATGAAACGCCCCTGCACTCTCACGACGTCTCCTGGAACTGCTCGCCTGACCCCTTGTTCCCCAGGAATCCACGAGAGGACAGGGGTCCCCCAAATCAGAGGGCAGGCACAGAAGGTCCCACGTGGGGCACAACAGGGCACAGTGGGCGGTTTTGGGGTACACAGCCAGGAGGAGCGGGCCCAGGATGGAGGCCTTTAGCAGAGTCTCTGGTCCAAGAGCCATGCTCCCAGTGGATGTTGTGCAGTGAGCTGTTACTACTCAGACACTCAGCTAGAACAGGGCAGAAGACCGACTTCTGGGGAGCCAGCAGGCACATGAGGACAATGCTGAGGACCAAGCAACAGCCTCCGACAAGCACCCCCATGGCCACTGGGGGCTGCCCTGCTCAGGCGCTAGGTGTTAGGCCAGATCCCTCTTCTAGCCCCTGGACCCACTATCCACCCCGCTCCCAGGCTCTGGGCCTCAGGAGGGGACCCCACCTTCTGTCTGGGGCCAAGGGGAAACACGAGGACCAGGGTGGCGGGAGTGCCCTGGCTGGGCTGGGAGGTGGCAGTGGCCCACTCCCTAGAGCTGCACTCCTGAGCCTGGACGTCCTGTCAGGCTGCCCATGCCTTCCTGAGCTGTCCTTCCCCAAAGCCAGGGGGGGAAGAGGCCGTGTGCCAGGAAAATCCAAAAACAGAAGTGGACCATGGCACAGCAGGCTAAGCCTCTAGCTGTGGCACTGACATCCCATATGGGCGCAAGCTCCAATTCGGATCCAGCTCCTTGCTAATAGACCTGGGGGAGCAACAGAAGATAGCCCAAGTGCTTGGGTCTCCACACCCGCATGGGAGACCTGGAAGAAGTTCAGGCTTCAGCTCAGTGCAGCTCTAGCCACTGTGGCCATTAGTGGAGTGAACCAGAGGACGGAAGATCTCTCTCTTCTCTCACTGTAGCTCTTTCAAAGAAGAATAAATCAATCTTTAAAATAAGGGGGTAGGGCAATGAGCCCCAGACGACCAGCTGTTAAAGCATCAGGTCAGTGGCCTCTGGGATCCAGAGGGGTGGCGACCACGGGGAGGCTGGGCGCCGCTGCTTCCCACCATGGCCCTTGGTGAGCGGAGGAGACCCCTTCCCCGGGCAGGACATTCTGACCACCCTAGGGCTCAGAGGCCACGCGAATCATGCAGCAAAAACCACCTGCCACTCCACTGCACCAGGGAGGGGCTCACGTCCTGAGAGACTGAGGCCAGAGGTGCTGCAGAGGGTGACCCAGCACCGGCTCAGGGGCATGGAGGGCTGTGCTAACCCTAGGTTAGGGAGGCCTGGGGTCCGGGGCTGTTTGCCATGGTGGTGGCATCTACCCCAGGTTGGACTAGACACCAGCTCCGCAGAGCAGCCAGAGGTAGACTGGGAACAAGAGGCCTGCGGGGTGGGGGCTGGGAAGGGCTGCTGAGCACAGCAGGGTGGCAAGACAGGTCACCACTGCCCACATGGGGCCGCGGTGCCAGGTGGATGCCGGCCTCCGAGGTAGAGCAGGACAAGTCCACCCTCCACAGCCTGGCGTGAACTGGCCAGCCCCCACAACCCCTGACGTTCCTGGGCCCTGGGACTGCCCAGCCTGCCACCAAAGTGGCCAACTTCTGCCCACAGTGACTGCAAAACCCTCTCCTGATGCCCACCTAAGGGTCAAATCCTTGAGGGGACAATGGGAACGCTGCTGCCCTGCGGGGCCGCGCTCCAGGCAGGGTCCAGGTGGGTGTGCGCACAGGCGTGAACCGTGCCTGTCCGCGCCACACGAGCCCACCCGCATCCGCGGCCACGTACCAGGCGGCGGATCTCGCGCTCACACTCCTTCTTGATGCGGCTGATCTCCTCCTGGTGCAGGTGGTACACGCTGCGGATCTCGGCGGCCTTGATCTTGTCAGCTTGGATGACCAGCGTCAGCGCCTCCTCCACCTGCTTCTTGGCCCCCTTGAGCTCGGAGATCTCCTGCTGCATCTTCACCTTCTCCACCTCGAAGCCCTTTTTGGCCTCCTCCTTGGCCTCGCACAGCAGCACGGTCTTGACCTTGTCGGGCGCGCCATCCCGCAGCGCGTGCAGCAGCGCCTGCAGCCGCTGGTTCTCGTTGTCCTTGATCTTGATCACGCGCAGCAGCTCGGCCTCATGCTGCCGCAGGAGGGCCTCGCGCACAGCCTGCAGCTCCTTCATCTTGTCCTCGTGCAGCTTGGCCTTGAGCTCCGTGAGCAGCACCGCGCTCTTGTGCTGCTCGTGCTCGCGCACCTGCCGCAGCTCCTGGTTCTTCTCCCGCTCCACCTTGCTCACCTGCAAGACAGCGAGACCGCAGCGCTCCTGAGACCCGCCGGCACCGGCCACGACCTGGTCCTGCTTCTGCAAACTTGGGAGCCTGCTTCCAGGCGAGTGCCCCCCTCGAGGTGCCGATGGAAGACAGAAGGCTTACCTGACCCCGCACAACCACGGGCTCCAGAGGTGGGAAGGGAGGGGAGCACACAGCATCCTTGGGGAAGCAGGCCAGGCAGGGAAAGCAGACAGGCTGATGGATGGCTGCCCCAGGGCACAGTGGGGGGCTCTCCCCTTGAACACAGCCCCACCCCTCCTCTGCTGCCCCCTGGCCCGCCCCAACCCCAGGAGCTGGGCAGGAAGGGCACCACGGTCTCATGCACCGTGGGTCTCCCATCCTCTTGACGGTGCTTGGTACACAATGCCGACACCCCATAGCGAGAGGTCAGCTTCTTGCCCTTGACAACCTGTCCCCTACTCACCTCTCTCCATACAGGATGGGCTCCATCCACTAGCCGCCAGAACCAGGCGGCCTCTCCCAGCGGACCTGGAGGAGGACTCACACTCCGTGGTGGTTGTGCCTCCCACAGGGCACCCTGTGCCTCCCTGCCCAGGGCTGAGGCCTCTCACCTCATCTCCCACCATCGCCCCATCCCTGCAGAGTGCACCCTGCAGGAAAGACCTCAGGAAGACCCCAACCCATCTCAGGTCCCGTGGAACCCTGGGGTCTCTGGCTCTCTGGGCAGGCCCAGCCACTCCTGCCTCTGGTTACTCTCCTGGCCTGGCAGCCCTGGGGGCTCCCCCTGTCACCTGGTCCCATTCCATCAGGCCCTGTGTGTCGCCCGGTCCCATCCCATCAGGCGCTGGCCCCTGCAGGGTTCCAGGGCACCGCCTGCAGGCATCCTCACCCTTGTAGAACTGGAGGCCTGCTGTGCTCCACCACCAGGCAAGTGTTCTGGCAGCTTTTTGGGTTGTGACCCTGGCTGTACTCCGGTCCTGACACCCACCCCCCTCCTTAGACTCCTGGGTCCTGGGGGCCCCAGTTACCCTGGAACATTCTGGGACTCAGGCTGAGGCCAGGGAGCCGGGGCTGCATCCCTCTGTGCCCAAGACCCTCCCCCTCCTCTGAAGCCAACTTCATGTTGTGAAATGGCAGCTGCTTGGTGGGTCTCCCCATGGGGTGTTGCGAGTAAGCCCCCAGCCATTCAAGACAAGGATTTAGGCACTAGGCTACTGTGCCAGACCCACACACTGTGCCTGCTGAGAAAAGGAATGAAATGAGTCAATACAGAGCAGAAGGAGCTGGCTGGGAGGGGGTGGTCTTGCAAAGCTGAGGACTGTGGCTGACCTCTGACCCTGAAATCCTCGGGCTCTGGCAGCCCCTGCTCTCTCTGCCAGCAAAGCCCCTGCTCTCTGAAGACCCAAGAAGAAACCAGGCCCCCAAATCCAAGAACGCCCAAAGCCTTGGCACCCTGCACCCATGTAGGAGAGCTGGAAGAAGTTCCAGGTTCCTGGCTTCAAATCCACTCAGCTCCGACCATTGCAGCCATTTGGGGAGTGAACCAGCAGTTGCAAGACCTGTCTCTCCTCTCTGTAACTCTTCCTTTCAAATAAAAATAAAATAAATCCGAAAGAAAAAGAGGAAGAAAGAAAGGAAGGAAGAAAAAAAAAAAAAGAAAAAGAAAAAAAAAGAGAAAGAAAGCCAGCCTGGTGCAGTAGCCTAGTAGTTAAATCCTCGCCCGCCATATGGGCACCTGTTCATGTCCCGCCTGCTCCACTTCCATCCAGCTCCCTGCTTGTGGCCTGGGAAAGCAGTCGAGGCCGGCCCAAAGTCCTGGGACCCTGCACCTGTGTGGGAGACCCGGAAGAGGCTCCTGGCTCCTGAGCCATTCAGCTCTGACTGGCACAGCCATTTGGGGAGTAAACTAGTAAATGAAAGTTTTTTGCCTTTCCTTCTCTCTGTAAATCTGCCTTTCCAATAAAAATACAGTATCTTTACAAATTAAAACGGAGACAAGATTCAGGGTGCGAGCGCTGGGGGGCGGAGCGGGCGTACCTTGCCCTTCTCCTGCTGCAGCTCGATCTGGATGTCCGTGAGCTTGGCACGCAGCTCCTCGTTGGCAGCCTGCAGCGCGGCCAGCGCCTCTCCTCTGTCGCTCCTCGTCCGGCCACTGGCACCCTTCTTGGACATGGTGAGGCTGGTGGCCAAAGGGACGTCCCAGGCAATGTGCTCCGACTGGGCCGGGTGTCCAGGCCAAGCTCGTGGCGGGTGTGGCCGCGGTGGTCGCTCTGCTACATCCTCTCATCTGCCTGTGGGGAAGCACACCTGGTGAGCTGACTGTCCTGGGCAAAGCTGCCGCCAGCGACAGCCCCACGCACGCAGGCCCGCACCACCCTACTCCCAGCACCTCAACACAGCGTCTCCTGCCCTCTGCACAGCGCCCCCCTAGTGGGGCACATTCTCTGCCCCAGGAACAGCCCTGGGGACAAGAGCTTTAAGCTCAGAATCATGCACAGGCGCAAGCCTTGGGCAGCTGGCAATGGAGGCCATGACAGACAGCTCCATGCAGGAGACGCCCTGAAGAACTGAGTGCAGCCCACACGCGGCCAAGTCAGGGCATGGGTTGCAGCTCATGCCCAGTGCAGCCACGGGGTCACAGCTCATGCCCAGCCCAGTCAGGGCACAGGGACACAGCCCATACCCACCTCACCCATGGGGACACAGCCCATGCCAGTCCAGCACCTGCACCTGCAGTGTGTGCTCCCCAAGCTGGCTTCAAGGCCATGCCAGTCCACCCCTGGCACCTGCAGTGTGTGCTCCCCAAGCTGGCTTCAAGGCAGCAGCTGCAGCCGCCCACTTGAGGCCAAGACTGCATGCCTGTCATGGTGGCACTGGGGAAGCCACTGAGCAGAAGGCATCAGAGCTCCATGCCCAGTACAGTACATCCTGAGGTGGCAGAACCACAGGCCAAGGCACAGCCCCCCTCCCAAGCCAGCAGTGCCAGCAAAAGGGCTGTTCTGAGGGCACACCAGGGTAGCTGTGTGTCCCTCTGGGCTGGCTGACCCCACAGGAGACCTTAGACATTCACGGGCCAGTGTGGTGATGACCGCTTGTCCTGCTGTGTACTGAGTGTCAAACATCTGGACCTAACGCCATCCTCGTCAGCAGACACCAGGTCAGGGGGAACCTCCATGCCCACACGCCCCCTGGGCACTCTCGGGGAGACCCAGCAGGCCCGATTGTGACAATAGGGCCGCTCGCAACTCAGGCCTTCCCTGGTCATTTGTCTGTGGAGCTGGCTAAACTTCAGCTTTCCTTTCCATAGGAACCCAGTGGGTGGCACGGGTTCTGGGAGGTCCCAAGACCTCTGTCCAGCCCCTTGCCCCAGGGCATGCAGGACATGGGCCCACGCTCTGGGCCATGGCTCCTGGGGGTCACGGACGAGGTGTGTGGGCCACAAGGATGTGGCAGGCTAGGCCAGCTAGCTGCAGCAGGGGCTAGCCACAGACACCATGGCCACAGCAGATGCTGGCCGCAGACACCCACAGCTGCAGACACCCACGGGCCAGACACCCACGGCCGCAGACACCCACAGCGGCAGACACCCACAGCCACGGCAGACACCCACAGCCACAGACACCCACGGCCGCAGACACCCACGGCCACGGCAGACACCCACAGCCACAGACACCCACGGCCGCAGTGGGAATGAGCACAGATTGACAAGGGGCTGCTCCCAGCATCCTCATGGACTCTAACAGTAGTCTTGAGTTTAGCTCCTCCCACTAACATGGTCATATGGGGTCTGCGTGTAGGTTTGAGGGACTCCAGGGTTACCTACCCCACCATCATCAAGAGCAGGTGACCACTCAGCTTAGCCCATGTAGACATGGGTCTGGGAGAGGCAGTCACTGTATGTACGGAGCTTCTGGGCTCAGGGCCGCTGACACCCCCCACCTCCGTAGGCATCTGTCCACCCCAGGCAGGGTCCACCTGCCTGGAGGTGCACAGCAGGAGGTGGTCCAGGTCCCAAAGGGCACCTCCCACCCTCAGGGCTCCAGGCGAGGTGGGCGCCAGCAGTGCAGGAATCTGCAAGTGGCCCAGGAAGGTCTGGTTGATCCCTGGAGTTTCTGGGGCTGTCCCGATCATCCAGGACTGTACCAACTGCCCAGGACTGTACCAACTGCCCAGGACTGTCCCGACCATCCAGGACTGTCCCGATCATCCAGGACCGTACCAACTGCCCAGGACTGTACCGACCGCCCAAGACTGTCCCGATCATCCAGGACCGTACCAACTGCCCAGGACTGTACCAACTGCCCAGGACTGTCCCGATCATCCAGGACTGTACCAACTGCCCAGGACTGTCCCGATCATCCAGGACTGTACCAACTGCCCAGGACTGTACCGACCGCCCAGGACTGTACTGACCATCCAATACTGTACCGTCCATCCAATACCGTACTGACTGTCCAGGACTGTACTAACTGCCCAGGACTGACTGTACTAGGCGTCCAACAGTGTATTCAGTGTCCAATATGGTACCCACCGTCCAGCTCTGTACTCACCGTCCAGTACCACAGCACTGCCAGAACATATCTGCTGGCACATCTGGACATCTGTCCTGAAGGAAACCCTGGTTCACTCAGCCTATGGCCGTGGCAACATTCTAGAACTTCCATGGGCTCCACTCTGCTCTTACAGCCCCTAGCGCTAGATGGGCTGGAGAACGCTAGTGACTTGAGGGCCATCAGGTCCCCAGCCTGGAGCCCTCCTGGGTACCCACAAAGTGATGGGCACACAGCATGCTCTGTTCCCATGTGCCTCTTATGCTTGATCAGAGACCATCACAAGATGCTTTGCTACAAACACACCGCAGCAGATCCTCAGCATCAGAAGGAACAGGCCACCTCCAGGGGACTTGTGCTTCCCACTCATCCAAACACAGGCCTCAGGGGGAATATGGGGGTTCCCCTTACCAGACAGCTACTTCCACTGGAGAGCGTGGGCTGGGATGGGGACAGATCAGACTGAGTAGGGATACAAAACCTGTGTGCCTCATGTGGACTAGATCAGGGAAAAGCCAGGCTGGGCTAATTATTCCTACTGGTGCAAGCATAAATTAGAGTGGGTGAGGGTTGTTCGGGCTTAGCTGCAGCATCAGCTGGCAGAAGCTGGCACTGGGGGCTGATACTGTCAAGTCAAACCACAGAACCACCTGGGGAGTGCATAAACTGGGAGTGAGAGAGACCTGGGAGGGAAACAGTGGGCTCCTCCCTCTTGGGTTACCACTCCCACGGGAGGGCACGAAAACTAGGACAGGGGCTGGGGTGGCTAGACAGCGAGGCACTCAGCAGCATCCGTGAGGGCTGGATAGTTAAGCTGGTTAGATAGAACTAAGCTTCAGTACCCTTTGACATGTACGAGAGCCAAATGGGATGTGGGACAGACTGGACTAGTCTGCTGCACATACTGGCAAACCAGGGCAGGGGCGGGTCTGATGGGGGTTATTGTGGGTCACCCTGACTAGGCTGCAGCTCCCACTGGTTTATGTGAGGGCTGAGTGTGTGCTGGGCAGAACCAGCCTGGACTGTAACACCAACTGGTTCCAGTGGAAGCCGGGGCTGAAAACAGAACCAACCCAGCAATTGCAACCACCAGCTGATTGGGACGATGGACTGTGCCGGGCCCTGTGCTTGCTGGAACACACAAGAATCTGGTCTGGGAACACCTCAAAGTTTCTTTGGGGATCTCCCCAATCGAAATGGAAGACTCAGAACCATAACCAAGAAAAGACAGAAGACAGAACAAGCCAATCAACCACCTCAGCTATATATTGGCAGCGAAATGCTGGGCAAATGGAGACTCTAAGATGGACTATGTCAATCAGTGGATTCTTCAATGACCTCATCGTGCCTGGAGTGGCGAGACTGGCAGCGATTCATAACTGGTGAACTATCAAAACCACTTGAGCAAGTATCTCAGAGCATGCTCCACATGCGGGACCTGGGGTGGGTGGGAGACTGAATGGGGCTTTTCCCTCAGTATCCGCCTTTACCTCAGATACATGAAGGAAACAACATGGAAATAATAGTCTTACCCACTTCCCTGTAGCCCTTGAACCTTTTCACCCCAATTAACTATGTAAAGATTGTCAAAAATATAATTTTTAAAAAACAAGGGCCTCTTCCTCGTCATGCTGTGAAGACAAACTGAGGCCACTCGGCAGCCCTGCCCACACAGCGCTGCGGGCACACCCTACTCTGAACCCGCTCCAGGGCTGAGAGCTGCAGGAAATACCCTCGGCTCCTCCCTGAGCTCCTGGTTGTGAAGCAGGGAGCCGTGTCTCCCAGGAACGAGTCCCCAGGGTCACGGCCAGCACGCCCAGCCACGGCCTCCTGGCCACCTCTGGATAAGGACCCTCCCCTCCTACAGCAGCTCCCAGCCCGGCCAACAGCGGATGCTCTGAGCAGCTGGGGAAACCAAGGCACAGGAGATGAAGGCTCAGCAAGGCCACTCCCTTCCAGCAAATGCTGGGGTCCTTGAAGGAGCTGTGAGGCAGAGTCCTGTCCAGAGGGCAGGTGGGCTCAGCACCCAGCCCTAAACGCGACCCACACTGCAGAAGGAAAGCAAACTCAAGCCACCATCCCTGCTGGGCTGGGCACCTGCCATTCTGATTCTCACCAGAGCCAGCTCGGAGCAGTGCCACACTGCCCTGAGCAAGCCCCACCCCTGGCTGCAAAACAACACACCACATAACTCTGGCACTGACAGTGGGCACAGTCTTGGCATGCACCTGGACGGGCATGGATGGAAACAGGCTGCTCCCTTCCCCAGGTGACACATCAGCCCACTGAGACAGGAGCTCAAATGGGCCCACGGGGCAGCGGCAGACAGGGAAGGCGAGCGTCCCACCCGGCTCCCAGTGCTCCTCACCGGCTCTGCCCGATGCGGGAATCTTCCCAGCTCCTTCCCAGCGCAGCTCCTGCAGCTCCTTGTCCTATGACTCAGCACAGCCTGGCTGCTCTCTTCAGATGAAATTAGCCAGGCTGCGGCCGGCTGCATCCGGGGGAGGAACCATTTCCCCAGCTGCTGGCTCAGTGCTCCCAGCTCCTCGGCAAGACCTGCCTGCCCAGGACGGCCGTGTTCCCAGCTCAGGCCAGCAGATTCGGCACAGCAGGCTCTTCTGG